AGCCCACCAGGGGGCGGGGCTGGCTGGCATGTGGTGCTGGGGGATTGAACCGCGGTCCCTGTGCTTTGCCAAGCTTGTTTCAAGTAGGTGCTTTATTTAGACCACTGAGCCATCTCTCCAGCCCCTCTGTATTATTTCTAATGTTTTTTTTTCCATTTTGTATTCTCTTTAAAAAATAAAATCAATAAAAATAAAGGACAAAAATTACCTACATTTTTTAAAATCTAAGGAAATTTAACAAAAGTAAAACTTTAAGTCGTAAAACAGTTTCTTGCCCACAGCAGATGGTTTTAAAAGTCTGACGTCCTCTCTGGTTCTCACTATCACCACGCTAACGTCCCGTCCCATCCTTCTGGCTACCAGACTGATGATCTACAGCAGAGAGAACACCCGGCCTTCCAGCGCTGGCAGTGGGAGCGCCAACAGACCCACCCACCACCAGCCGAAGATTCCACTTCCTGCTTGCCCGCTGGGGAAGCCCGGCCCCCAAGGGCTTCAGATGAAATCTGCTATGGTAAACAGGCACCAGGTTTGTCTGCTAAGGTCTGGATGATGTACCTGAGGCAGCCTGATACTGGTTTTGATAAGGACAGATTAATCTTTATTATTTTTAAATTTGAGACAGGGTCTTTCTAAGTTGTCAAACTGCCCAGGCCGAACTGAACTTGCAGGCCTCATGCCTCAGCCTTCCAGGGTGACAGCCAGTAGCTTTCCAGTGGCGGTTAATGGAGGACACAACACTGGTACCTGATCTGTCCAAGCACTGTGCTGGGCATTCTCCCCAGCTTTTCTCTATTTTCAATCTAGTGTATGGCTACTACTATCATGCCCACTTCACTGACGGGGAAACTGAATCTCTAAAGAGGTTAAGTTATACAACTAGTAACTGGCAAACCTGAGGTGTGAATTCAGGTCTAATGTTCAGATCTATGCTGACATGGTTTGCTTTCAACTGAATTGTTGTTCATGAGATTTCTGTGAAAGACACAGGCCTGAGTGGCCAATGTTGCATGAGGAAAGGCCACGTGGCGGGCATTCGCACTGTGGTCAGCAAGGTGGCCGAAGGGCCAAGGCTGTGGGGCAGACTCACCTTCCGGGATGTGCTTGCGAAGTGGGCCCCACAGGCCTTGCAGCTGGGTTCCGAGCCCGTTGGGGAAGGGAAGGAGCTGTACCCAGGGTTGGAATAGGCCTGTGCTCTGGCTCCCTGGGGTGGTGGGACCTCCTCAGGCTGTCCATCCAGGCAGAACCAGTTGCAGCAAGTTGCCCACATGATAAACTCTGGTACAAGGGAGGAAGAAGTGAAAGGTCAGAATTAAGATAAGCAGGTCCTGCGGTTTCTACCCCAAGGGCACGGCTGAGCGTGGGTACTCAGTCCACATCCCCCAAGCCAGAGGAAGACACGTTTTCAGGGCTCATGAATGTCTTGCCACCTTCTCTCTACTACAGCTGCTGGCCCACCTAAGAGAGGTGAGTACAGACATTCAACCTGCCCAGGAAAGACAGATGGGCAAGCTGGTGTACTATGTTGGTAGGGCTGCTCATTCCTGATGGGGTCTAATCTGGATCTAACTTGTTTTCTTACCTTAAGACACGCTTTATTCAGGAACATGACACTGTCCCTGGGGCTCAGCCAGAACTGGATCACACACACACATGCACATGCACTCACATGGTTCCGTACTTGCTGACCATGTAGAGGATGTACCAGACCCTTCAGAGAGAGGAGACAAGTGTGTGGCGCATACCTGTCCCACCTACTCTGGAGGCGGATGTGGAAAGATTGCGTGAGCCCATGAGTTCAAGATCACTTGAGCAGCATAGCAAGTCCCTCTCTCAAAACAATTAATTAGATAGATAGATGAGGCAACCATGGTTCAAAAACATCAATACTGTCCATAGCTAATATAGAGAGCTCTGCTAAGTAGCTGAGATTCTAAACATGTGGTTTTCTAAGTCCAAACCCGAAGTCCTTTGCCCTCTTCCAGGTTTTCTCTTTGGTTTCCCATCCCACCGCCAGCAGAACTAATTACTCTTCCACTTGCCCCAATCCTAGATACACTTCATAGTCCTGTGTCCCTCCAGGGCAGGGTTACTCCCATCTGCACTGCACCCTAGCAACGTACATGTGGCTGATGCTCAAGGAATACTTGTTTCCTTGCTGGGTAAGTGTCTCTGAGGTTTTATTAAGAAGCTCGGAATTATTATCCCCATATTAAGTATCAAATATTGGCATGAAGGGCAAGGGGGCTGATGATGTTTATGAGCCCAAAGAGGTTTCAGTTGCTCAACTGTCACTGCAAACTAAAGGTGAAAATGGGGTCCTTTACAATGCCAAGCACCGCTGGGATGTATGAGCTTGTTTTCCACCGCAGACTAAGACAGACAGTGTGGATATTCTGCGCCTGAACTCTGTCGTTACAGAGATAATAAATGAAACACTTTGTATTGTTGTTCAATAGCCCGTTCACACAAAAGAATGGTGCTTTCTGCTCTAGCTCCTGACTCACTGTTTTAACAAAAGCACTTTCATAGTTCAAAGACAATAGTAAGTTGGAAGGAACTAAGAGGCCAGCTGGCTTCATGTTGGTCATTTTATAGAGGAAAAGAACAGGGTCCAGTCAGAGGAAGTAACTTTCTGGGACACCCAGGTTATAAGCCAAGGCCACCATGGTCTCCAACCCATCTGTTACATAACTCGTTGTCTTCTTTAGGCAAGTGTGATTAATAGCTGTCTCTCCCACTTGCCTGTGGTCCCTACGAGACAAGGGAATGTGGCAGTGTTGCAGTGGTTAGAGCAACGGCTCAACAAGGACTACTGAATGAAGGAATCATATGCAATACTTAAATAATGAAGTAAAGAGTTCTTTACCATGTGTGAGAAAAAGTAAATGAACTGTTTGTTGGCAAGAGAATGAGGGCAACAGAGGAAAAAGAAATTTGTAATTCTTTAAATCTCATATTGATAAGCTATTGGGACAGTGTTTAATGATAAAAAGTGCAGGGGCTGGAGTCGGTCCCATGTAACTGTTTACAGGCAGTGTTACCAACCTCCAACAAGTCATACCCTTTCTGCACTTCACGGTTCTCCTCTGGACGTTCTGCAGGATACAGGGCTTTGGGCCGGGGAGATGGCTCAGTAGAATAAGTGCTTCCCTGGCAAGCCCAAGGGTCTGAGTTCAATCCCCAGTTCCACCAAAAAAAAAAAAAAAAAGGATACAGGAATATAGGGCTTTATTAAATATTAATTGTTGCTACCTGTATTGTAACAGTGTCTTTTCTTTAAGAAGACAAACATAGAAGGTAAACCTAGAGATTCACCACAGTTACCATTTGGTTTTCTGGGTCTGTCTCCTGCCATGAGGTCGGAGCTGTTGGCGATTCTTCACTAATTCCTGTTAACACCTATTCTCTTTAAATTTTTTTTTTTAAATTTTTATTTGTGTGTGTGTGTGTGTGTGTGTGTGTGTGTGTGGCCAGCTCAGCCCACCAGGGGGCAGGGCTGGCTGGCATGTGGTGCTGGGGATTGAACCGTGGTCCCTCTGCTTTGCTAAGCTTGTTCTAAGTAGGTGCTTTAGACCACTGAGCCATCTCACCAGCCCAACACCTATTCTCATTCACACATGCACATGGCCTCTCCGAAGCCAATGCCTTGTCCTTTCCAAGGCAGGTGAGTCAGCTTGGTACCTATCCCTAGAGTTTATGGTCTGGTAAGAGAACTGGAATGTCAGGGTGGTTAGTATTAAACCTCAACTCACCACATACACTCAATCTTTTGCACATCAGAACATTTTTCTCCGACTTCTTGTGGCCCAGGACAAGTTGAGCCTTTAAGAGAAGACTGTACAGTATATAAGAGTGGGATGGGGAGTAGATTACAAAGATAGAAAGATCAGCTCTATGGGGCAGAGGCATGACTCCAAGTGCCAAGGTGCTGTGAGAGTAGATACGACATTCACTAGAAAGTCAGGAGTAGGAATTTTAAGAAAGACAGAAGGCATGTGTGAGGGCAACAGAAAAACTACAAAATAATGCCACATGTCGTGGCACACACTTCCAGCTGCTCAGGAGGCTATGCAGTAGAATAGGACATTTGAATTCTTAGTAAGACTCTCTCAAAACAAAAAATAACACGAGCTGGGAGTGCAGCTCAGTGGTACAGTACTTCCCTAGCATGTGTGAGACCCTGATCTCAGCGCCTTCAAAAACAAAACAAAACCAAGACACTATAAAATGCTCAGCTGGGGGCAGGAGTAGGAAAAGGCTGGGGTAGATGAGGTACATGTCAAATAAGGAGCCATGGAAAACCCCGTGCTCAGTGGTAAGGATCTGGACTTTAGTAATAGGACATTGTTAGGCATTTGAGGCAGTGAAGTCTTATGATCTTATCTGCATGCTAAAGTGTATTTACAGCAGTAAGCATGGCGAAGGCCAGATGGGGGTGGAGCAGAAATCTGTAGTAGGAGCAGTCAGATAAGATGATAAGGGCCTAAACAGGAGTGGCAAACCTATAGCTTGCCATGCCAAAATGGGCTGTTTGTTATCATCGAACACCCTAAAAGGTTCACCATCACTGGCCTAGGACAAAGGGACAGCTAGAGCTCTGGCAAAATTAGCAGGATATGTCCATGAACTAAGTCAGTGGGAAATACAGAGACAAAAGGGGGCCTGGGGCAAACCCGAGGATCTCAAATACACCCAGGATAACCTGGGCACTAATGAGATAAAGTCCTCAGGAAGCAGCAAGCACATACCTTTGTGCGTGGGTAGCGAGAGGACAGGTGAAGATAGAGAGCTGAGTTGTACCCAGGGATTATGCTGGTGCACGCATAGGGCCGTGTATATAAGTCTGTGCTGAAGGTAAAGGTGTGGGAGCCCTAGGCCTGCTACAAGTACATAAAGCCAGAGTGCTCTCGGTCTGGAAAGAAGAGGGCCTTGAGGAGGGCAAAGGAGGAAAGTCAACTGGCAGAGCCGAGGGAGGAAGGATGCTGACAGCAGGAAGAGCTGAGGAAGTAGCCTGAGTTCCCAAGGAAATGAACAGTACTGTTCAAATGACCCAAAGAACAGACCATCTTGCAAGGAATGCAAAATGCGCAGTGGACTTAATTTTAGGAAAGGGTGAGGGGGCTGTTTGCCTGAACAGTTTGAGAAGAAGCTGACAGAAATCCCCTAAGTTGGAAAGCAGATAAAAAGGGAGAAATCACAAGACTCCAAGGGTATTCTTTCAAGAAACTTGACTGTGAATGAAGAGAAAAGGAAGAAGCTGAGGAGGATCTGGGGCCATGAAGATATGTATAGACGTAAGCACAGGCTGAAGAGGAAGCCCCAAGAGACTAAGACTGTGTAAGAAGGGAAGCTGGCACTCCATAAGGGAAATAAGGGCCAGAAGTGATCAAGCAATTGGACTAGCAGGTGGCCTCCTCCTAGGCACAGGAAGGTCATCCCTTTCCAGAGGGTGTGGAGGAGAAGGCAGATAAAACCAAGGACTGTTTCGAGCATTAGCAACAAGGTGAAAGAATGAAATGGCAAGCAGGGAAGGTGGTGAGACTTAGCTGCAAGAACTTTTCTTCCACGAGGAATACGTACATTGTAATCTGAGAGGGTGCTCCTTGGGGCTGCTGATGAAGTGCAGCGCTAATGCACTAGCATACTTGAGGTTCTGGGTTCAATCCACAGCACAGCAAAAACTAAAAACGTATGCTCCTGCCAAACTGGCAAGCTCTAAGCCTAAATGACAACCCTATTCAGGATAATTTCGGGGGAAAGAGGTTGTAATGTTAACAATGCTGTGCAAGCTAAACACTTTTTCTTCTCATCTCTCAGCCTTAAATACATGCATGGCATCTGATTATGTTGCTAAAGATCTGAAAGTGGAACCAAACATGTGGTATGGTAAATAAACACTACACTTGAAAACAAACTTTACCCTCTGATCTGCAAACCTCTTTTGGAGCTTAAACAGAAAATCTGTATCACATCTTCACAGAGGGCTTGACAATTCCTTGCCCAGCCCTCCTCTTTTGAGCAGATGGACTTGGTCATTGAATCCTCAAAGAATAATCTGCCTGCTCCCTGCTCCCTTACTGCATTCATTTGAAAGCTGCCAGGCTCTTCTGTTCCACTGGCCCAGAGTGGGGGAGACAAAAGACTCTGGGCTAAGGGGAATAAGAACATACTATGCTGGGTGGAAGCACCCTGTGGGGAGAGGCAAGACTGGCTGGTGAGCATGTGGGGTTAGTCAGCTAAACAGGAACATTAGCGTTCGCTAACCAGGTGAGATA